GTCCATTGCTTCTTGCTTATCTACAGCTTGGGAGGGTGAGGCTTTGCTCTGACTCTTTTTTCTTCTAATGCAGCCTCCACCCTCCTCAAGCATTCCAGGCTGCAATCCGACGGCTTGTCAGACGTTTTTGTCCAAGCAGGAATTTTAACAGCCTTGTCCTTCCTTTTGGGCATAGAGAAGAATAATTAGGAATGAATATTGTTGTTGGAAGCTCTCATTAGAAGCAGGATTCTAAAAACTCTAACAGCTTATCAGACTCAAAAATGAAAGCAGTATTCCACTCTAAATCAACACAGTATTTAAAGAGTTTAACTAGATCTACACATTCCTTATCTTTCTCTCCGAAGGTTTATGTAGGAAAAAAAAAACAGTCTTCAAAAGGAGGAAATGCATTTTAAAAGTTGTTTACTATATCGGCGACACAGAGGTTTAGTTCTTAGCTGCCCATTCCTCCCGAACGGAAGTGATGTCCTTGGGGAATGTGTTGTGTTTTTTTTTAAAACTACCAGAATACCCCTCCCCCACTGATACTAGGAAATTCTGGAAGTTGTAGTCCAAAATAGTAACTTTCCTAAACTGTGGCTCAGGGTACCTTAATAGCTCAGTGGTTTAGGTATGCGGAGCCAGAGGTTGGGAGTTTGATTCCCCACTATGTTTCCTTGACAAGGGCGGGACTTGGTGATTTATAGGATCCCTTCCAGCTCTGCAGTTCTAAGATAATGGTGATGATAATGATTACATTTCTTTTTAATGCAGGTTTGTCTGCATACAAACAAACAAACAAACAAACAATAAATAAATAACACAAGAACTTATTTTCAGGTTTTGGCTTGTTGGGGTTAAGTTCCTAATATCTGTGAGGGGGAAAAAAGTCAGAGTAAACTTGTCCTCCCTCTCTCCTTTCCCAAGCCTTTCCCTCTCTCTTTTTCAGTTTCTTTGCCTCTCTTACTTTCTCTCTTCATCGTGATGACTGCATCATACTGTGTTGCTGCTTACTGAGGTGCGGCTTCACCTTCTGCAATGTTGCTTGATCTTTGATTTCCTGTGAAGCACAATGAATCTTACATTAGACTGTTCAAAGTCAGGTGGTGTGCCATCTGTTCCCAGGCTTGGAAAACACTGAGAAACAGAGATCAACAGAAAGCAACAGCTTCCCCCGATTTTCATCAGAATATTCATAGCCACACAGTAGCGAGGAGACAGATGAGGAGGACGCTGTCTCCAAGCCTAGAAGCTTCGTTTTCTTTTTGCCATTTTCTTCTGAGGCAGTCCTGATGTGCACGTTTAAAAAGCCATTAAAATCCATCTAATATCAATGAATATGAATTCTCTCTCTCTCTCTCTCTCTCTCTCTCTCTCTCTCTCTCTGTGTGTGTGTGTGTGTGTGTGTGTGTGTGTGTAAGTGCTATAGATTTTGGTATGATTTGGGCTACAGGATGTTACAGAGACCATGTTACATTGCAAAGAATGTTGCTAATCAATGGCACTTAATGACAGCTGCCAAACCAGAAAGAGATGATGAGGACGACCAACAGAGCACGAGCAGGACAGAAGATGTGACAAAATGAGAGATTCGTAAATCTGGGTTTGGCTGCTTTAAGCTTCACATTAAAAATCATCATGGCTAAGAACTCTTAAAGAATGGGAACTGCTGACCTAGCAACCCTAGACACACCAGGCGTAGAGAACAAATTGTATTATTTGGCCGAGAAAAACACAACAGTAACAGGAAACTTTTGACCCCAACCAGAGATTTCTAAGTCTGCTGGATAGCTGTTTAAACTGCTGGATAGCTGCATGGTTTAGGCATCTGGCTGCAGAGCCAGAGGCTGAGAGTTCAACTCCCCACTGTGCCTCCCTGACAGGGTATGGACATGATGATCCATAAGGTCCCTTCCAAGCTCTGCAGTTCTAAGGTGATGGTGATGATAAGTCCAACATCACATTAGGGGCTGGACTATATCATGACAATAGCTACACAGGGCCAGGGCAGATGTGATATTGTCTCTTTTAAAAATACTTACAGGAGTGAGTGAGCTGGCACTGACTGTCTGGGGTAGGAAAGTATGTAAGAACTGCTCTGCTTGGTACATTTTCCTGATCTAACTCATACCCCAGCCTAGTTGTAAGAAGGCGAAGAGCAACATGGGGAGGAACTTAATGTGGGAAGATAGCATAATTTGAAAGGGCAGGCCTTTCCTATTCTTGCACCATGGTCTAGATCCAGTCTTTCCCTTCTTTGATCTGGTCCTTCCCCTTTTTTGAGATTACACAAAATGGAAAAAGATAAAGACCCCATTCAGATCTCTAGCATTTTGTCTAATCTGTGGCAATACTGTGTTGAACTGTGCTAAAATGTTAATTGATATCTGGGCTGTGATAGCTTTTTTGAAAAAATGTGCATTATAGTATTGCAGGATGTGCTTCCTGTGTACATAAAGAATCCCAGTGTTATATACTAGCAATAGATCTCCATGTAGGTAAAACATACTCTTAAAATATTCTTAGAACTGTGGAGGTGGAAGACACCTTATAGATCATCCAGCCCATATCAAGGAGGCACGGTGGGGAATCGAACCAGAGATCTAAGCCCCTGAGCTATCCAGCAGTACCATGTAGGTATTAATTGCTTTTGGATATCCAGTGTAGCTGATTAAAATCTATGTATGTTAACTGACATTTAAACATGTAAACAGAATCCTGTGCAGATTTTGTTTACTAGACCAGGAAAGAATGATAGATATAAATCTGATGTGCAAGTAGTGGCAACATCTGTTTATATTGCACTGCTTTCAATACGCCATGCCTTCAGCTGAGCATCCTTGCACATCTTGTGGCGCATCTGGTTATCTATAAATACACTAAGGATACAGAGTTGGATTGGAATTATTGGATATACTGTTTAGTTCCACCAAAAAAAGCACTGTGGAATATATATTCAGTGACAGATCAAGTTTCTAGGACAGATACCCTTAATGGTTTAATATTCTGCCCCTAGCTAATATCAGAGTACCTTAAGCTAGATTTACAGCAACCCAAAATTGCTTTAACTACTCTGCTAAATATTGTGGCAGTTGTAGAACAAACTGGAGGAAAGATTTATCAACTACCTGAAAGGCTTCATTGATCTCCTCTCTGCATTTCAACTTTCCAACATTTGTTTTCAATTTTTCTAATACAAAGGAAGTAGAAATGGCTGGAAATCATGACCGAAGAGGAAGAGTAAACTAAGGAAGGCAAACAAGGAAACAAGACACTGAGAAAAAGAATGAGAGAGTTAGAGTCAATAATACTCTCTTGCATTCAGCTTTTGAGTAGTTTCAAAACCTGCTGTAATATGACAGGTAAGTATCAATGATCATTTCTCAGTCCCGTCTGTTAACTGAACTTGGTATTATCCAGTTTGTTTCATTGGTTCCCATTGCTTACCTGATGTACTGCCATACGAGAAAGTTGTCTCAGATGCAGAGAAACAGGAAGTGGTGGCAAAATATTAGAGGACAGACCTGTCTGTGTCACACAGCTCTTGGGGTTCACTATTTGAACCCATTGGGACTTACCCCACAAATCTTTAGGGCTGCATCAAAGAAAAGGTTGTTATTGTGCCATGCTTTCAAACAAGGAACTCCACAGCTGGAGTATAAAATGGCCCAGTGCCTTCACACTGTTGCATGTTCCCATATTTCTTTATCTGGGTACATAGCATCTCAGCACACCTACTTCCCACACCCATTTCCATTAGGATCTGTTGATGTTTCAGCCATATGAAGCAAGAAATGTCTTTTTATTTGTTTTTCAGAAATCATCACACCCTTTAAGAGTGGATTGAATGCCCTGGAAGAATATCCATAATGTTGTTGGAATTTTTTTGTTTACAGCCTGTCATGCTGTCTGTGGTTTATATGACTGGAAGGGACTTTTCTGGGCTGGGGTGAGATTGTCTGTTCAGAAGTAACCTATTGCTCCTTTGAGCCATTGATTGCAAAAAGAGCACTGCCTCTTTGCTGAGTGTTCTTTTCCCCTCTCTTTTGTTGGTTGGTGGCAGTTCTTTGTTGCTGTTGATCTGTTCAGTTGGTTGCTAGTATGTGTGTGCAGTAAAGAAAGCAGCATACAAACGTCTGTAATTTCAAGCACTTGTTAGTGAGGAATTTTTAATTATTATTTCTCTTACAAATGTCTCAGTTATTGAGATTTTAAGTGCCAGTTAATGAGAAAGGAGTCGACACTGAGGATCTTGAAGCCATTCCCTTCTGTGGATCTCTGTACTTCTACTGTGTAGCAAGAAAGGAATTTTACCAGAAATTCAAAACTCTGCAACCGTGTGCAGATCCTATAGCTACAATATTCTGGCATTCCAAGACCTTGCTGTTACAGGACCTTGTTGTTACAGTATCCTGGTGTATAAAGTGCTTTATGCCATAAAGCCTTATCTGGGTGTTGTGAAATTTTAGTCAACACAATTACTTTATTATCATAGAGGCAGCCTGCCATATTCTAAGTTACAGACTGCATGGGCAACAGAATTTCCTATTGAAAAAGTTTCCTTGACAAAGTAGGCCTCCAATCCATGCAGAAAGGGTTGTTGATAGTTGATGATGGAAAGATAAGGGTATAAATCAGTGACGGCGAACCTATGGCACACATGCCATAGCTAGCACCCAGAGTCCTCTCTGTGGGTATGCGAGCCATAAGTCACCATCGAGAAATACTTACCCATCCTCCGATCTCGGATTTTGGCACTCCCCTCTGCTGGTACATTGGTTCAACAGAGGGGTGCAATAGTGGCCATTACCGGTCTAGCCCAATGGGGGATTGGAGGACCGGTAAGCATTTCTTTGTTAATACAACCCATAAAAATAACACAAGCATTTAACCCTTGCAGTGCAGGAGCAGTTGTTTTTTCTAAACTAACACCTCAGTATTCGGGGTTTAATTGCATTGTTGGCACTTTGAAATAAATATGTTGATTTTGTTTTGCAGTTTGGGCACTCAGGCTCACCATCACTGATATAAATCATGAGCAAAGAAGATAGCCTGGGGAAGGAACAAAGTGTGCCAGAAAAACACCATTAGAGATGTTAAACACACTTTGCTGTGTGGAAAGGAGAATTTATTTTCTACATGCTGATGTGATGTTATAACTGCTGATGCTCTAGTTTACTCTATTAACTACACAGTCTCTTAAGATAATTTCATAGATGAGACTTAACTGAGAGTTAATTTTTATAACTTAGAAAATATGCCTTTGTAATACTTTTTAATAAAGTATTTTGTAGCACTTTAGATACAGTCTTATTATTTCATTAAGCATCATATTAATTCTTGCTAGAGAATGTTTAAGTTTCGCTAGAGTAGTAACGTTGTACTTCTACTACATAGCAAAAAGGAATTTTACCAGAATTTCAAAACTGTACAATATAGAATTCCTCCAGTAAAGTTTAGTTGAGTCATTGTGTACAACTGAGTTACATTATAAAGTTTGTAGCACTTTAGATACAACCTTATTATTTCATTAAGCATCATATTAATTCTTGCTAGAGAATTTTTAAGTTTTGCTAGAGTAGTAACTTTGTACTTCTACTACATAGCAAAAAGGAATTTTACCAGAATTTCAAAACTGTACAATATAGAATTCCTCCAGTAAAGTTTAGTTGAGTCATTGTGTACAACTGAGTTACATTATAAAGGAGTCCTGGGGGGCCAGCACAATGGAGTGTAGCCTTGGGGACCAATAGATTATAATAGTATCATTATACCATAGAAAAATGTATGGTGTCTTTTACTTTTTATGGTCTTGGGTTTCTGCTCATAAGTATATAGCCTGCTAGTAAGAAACTCTCATATTCCCACAGTATATCCCCTCAGCAGTTTAACACCTGTTGCATCCTTCTGCTTTTTGCTATTAAACAATACATTTCAGGCATGCTTCTCCATGCTGGAGAAGATACATCCCTCCAGGTGGACTGATTTGTGCATGACACATCCAGAGTCAAACACTGATGAAAAGCTTTTCTCAGCAGTAGTTTAACAGGCAATTGAAGC